GAAGTCAGGTAAGGGTGATGCCCTGTTCTTATCTGGTTCCGCAAATTCATCGGCATCAGAGTCTTTCTTATCGTTAGAATTAACTGTAGGCCGCTTTCTAGCGGCGACTGCTGAGAGTAGCGGTGCGTCTGGAGTTGCTTGCGTAATTAATATAGTAGCCGGTGTATCAAGACGTATCTTAATATCCTCCTCATTATCACTAATTGCCTCGAAAGCATGTGTCTAGACATCAAGTGCTTCGGCCGAAGCGGCTATCTCATGGTCCAAAAGATACTCTTAGAGAATCAGCCGCTGCTCCTCCTTGATATCGAATCTTGTTGTACACATGTATAACATAATATCGCGAACAGTCTCTAGGTTTAACGACCCCCGGCGGTAGTGGCATACATCCCGGGCAGAGTTAAAAAGACGCTCAACTCCGGCACCAGTCGCTGGAATTGACATAATATCACGGGCAATACTTGCAAGAATAGGGAATTCCCTCTGATAATCTTTCTAGAAAATCCGAATAGATCCTTTGATAGTATCTAATTAGGTAAGGTTAGTTATATGATTCACAAAGTAGGCTTACTTACTTACCACTCTAGAGATATTTGGTGAGCTCGTCGTACTACGGAGCAGTTAATCGTTGTGAAGAATCGCCGTTAAGGGCCTTCTCAAGCTCCGATTCAGTTGTGAATAACTGGCTATCAGATTGTATCATCTCTAATGGTATACGTTAGCTATATCTCTTAAAAAAAGACTGAAGACTCTCGCGGTATTCCTTTCTATAGTCCTTTCCTGTCTTAGGATCTGGGTCCTAATCACTTATTAAAAAGAACTCCATCTTGCTCGACGGCGCTAGGATCGTCCTAATTGCATAGAGATTACCTTCGATACTATCTGTCTCGGCGTAGTATTTCTTTAGTTTCTCTTTCGTAGCATCGAGGGAGGAAAGCATTAACTGTTTCTAGGGAACCTTCTTTCGACGAAGCTGACCTATCGATCTTTCAAGATGATCGAAGAGCTTATTATAAATCCTAAAGATAAGGTGGATACTCGAGTCTTTAGTACGACAAACTAGCGTAGTGAGCGTGAAAAAGGGCTGAAGAATACAAAGCAGATAGTCAATCTATCGCCACCCCTCTACACTTAATGTAAAATAATGTTGATCATAGTCGGAACAGAACTTGTTGAATGCGATATGAAGCCTCTTCGCCCGTCGGAGCATTAGAAATGTCGAATTCCACCGTGTACGAACATCCTAGATTAGAAGAAGCCGTAGCGTATTACTAGGCTAGGTATTCAGGAAGGCTTCCTTACGTTAAGGGCTTCCGTTGATATAAACCGCAAGACCTCGGACCTATTAGGAATCAGAATAGTTAGTGTTATTAAATCATAATTTATGATTCATAAATAGAAGCATACCTTGTTTAGAGTATCGGCGATCTCATGTTTCTACTAGCGCGCACGAAGTAAACGTACACGATCATCAGACCATTCTGTCTCGGCGTTATCATTCTTTGGCGAAGCCTTGATTTTACCAAGCAAATCAACTAGACTTAATTGAATAACATGCGCAAGGTAGGGCACTTGGACAATCGTAGATTCCGTCTCTATATGTAGCTTCTTGATTAAATCATTCACTACTGCGATAAGTGTCTTATTATTAGACGCATTATCAGTTATCACCGCGAGCACTCGGTCAGCGATTTGGTGCTTTTGTAGGATCTGGAGAACTACGTCCCCAAGGTTCACGCCAGTATAAGATCCAGAAATTGGCTCAAACCCAAGTAGGACCTCACGATACTCCCATTCCTAGTCTAGGAAGTATCCTATAATAGCCATAAATGCGTGCTTAAATGGGGATGTCTAGCAGTCAAGCGCAATCGACATTTTTGCACCAGATGGGAGCTGTTGTAGTGTCTCTTATTAATACTCTATAACGAAACCCCGGAGGCGGTCGCGAATCACCTTTCTTAATAGAACGCTCGGTGATATAGGTGCTAGCCGTGCGTAGGAAATAAGGTCATAGAATTCTTGGTGCTCGACGAAGAGGAAGGGTAAATGTGATATAGTGATTAGGTTTAGAATCTTCTGTTCCTATATTTGTTAGGTAAAGAGAGGCGCTAGTCTTCTCTCGGCCTAAAATATAGTGAATTCATAATTAGTATTAATATTGAATATAGGCTATTTCGAACATACCGCGTCGCTAAGTAGTTACTGGATATTACCCTTCTTCGTAATTCGCTGTCGACACCTTGGCCTATTAAGATACTTCTACATCGATGAGTTTCTAGTATGATTTGTAGCTAGATGCGTAAGAACTGTACGGCACCGATTGCACATAACGCCAGGCTTTCTATCTTTAGTATGTGTAACTTGTTGAAACCCAGTCTAGCAGTCTACGCGACGGCTAACCTCCTAGTTTAGCCGCTTTTTCTTGCTAAAATCGGTTTAAAGCCACCAGTTAACGAATTCCGCGGACATGTCGGTAGTAAAGACGATATACTCGTTAATACTATCTGGCTTGATTCGCGTAAGGGTGTCTAGGGCCCGAGGTCCTGCGCGAGATCGGACTTGGTTGTCTAGAAGGTCTGGAAGGTCTAGAACTGAATCAAACTGGCTTTCGCGTTGGGATAGCGTATCGTCAGGGGTAAGGTATTGTAGCGCGTCTAGAGGTAACCCTTCGAAGCTAGATGATGCGTAGCCGTAGCCGTCGGTAATCTGAGACATGATAACTTTAGTAAACTAGTGTAACTTAGCGAAGATAATAAGGAACTTACTAGTTATTCTATAGAAGTTACGGGGTCTTCTTGGGGCATCTGTTTATCCCTATTCTATAATGCTCAAATTGATATATCAACTTTTATAAGCCCTATCTATATCTGATTCGCTAGTATAGTGGATCACTATAGAAACGAACCTTAATAAACCTCAACTAACCTCAACGAACCTCAATGGACCTCATCGAACCTCAACGAATCTCAACGAACCTCAACGAGAACCTTAATATAAGAAAAATAGAATGTCTAAGTCTAACAATTAGGACATTTGAACCGGATTCACGGTATATCTAGATCAATTAATCTGAATTCTAAAAGACAAAGTGATAGAAGAGGATATAACGGTTTAAATGATATTAAAATAAGGGGAATTGAACTGCATCTTTATAGTTTTCTTGAAGAACAGTAGTTCTACTAATAAAGATACACATACTTTACAATGTCTGCGATATATATATCCACAACTTTACATGCCATTTTATCGATGACCTCTATTGACAACCCACCACGTCGATATCATCGAATATTACCTATAATTTGTAGGTGACCACGCCTCCTATTTACTTTTCAATGAATATATCTTTATAATTCATTATGTTAACAAAGTATTCAGTGGAAAGTCTATTGGTTAACGAAACAGCTGTAAAAAACAGAGATGAATCATCAATTTTATCCAGCCAAAAGAGGAAAGGCGTCAAGAAATTATGTATATGCAGGTTCATGCGGGTCGATGGAGGTTGAACCTCAAAGAACCTCTGGAGGTTAATGGGCGGTTGGAGGTTAGTAAGGTTGGAACCTCACCTCAAGAGGTGAGGTTCGAGGTTCCGGGGTAGGGACCCATGCGGAGGTTCAAAGCCAGGTCTAGCTACTACCACAGTATTAGCTATAGCTCGACGTCTTCAGCTAGCAGCTAGCGAACGAATTACCACCTCATCGGCTAGGAATCGACTATAAGATACCCCTGAAACGTGACCGAAACGGTGTCGAAGAGTCACCTCCGTATAGGCTACTGTATGGCATGAATAAGGAGGAGTTGCTATACCTGCGGAAAACGCTCACGGAACTGTTAGACAAAAACTTCATTCGGGTTAGCAACTCCCCTGCCGCATCGCCAGTGCTTCTCGTACGAAAACCTGGTGGAGGGGTGCGATTCTGTGTCGACTACCGGGGGTTAAACGAGCTAAGCGTTAAGGACCGGTATCCCTTACCACTAATCCGAGAGACGCTAAGAAACATGTCGAAGGCGAAATGGTTTACGAAGCTGGATATCATCGCAGCCTTTCATAAGGTGCGCGTTGCACCCGGAGAAGAGTGGAAGACAGCGTTCCGACGCCGCATACAGTCCGGTTAGATGTGCCAACTGGCGTTCATCCAGTGTTCCACGTTGAATTGGTGCGGCCGGCTGCATCGGACCCGTTTCCGTCACAAATCGTTAACGATACGCAGCCGGCACCAATTGAAGTCGATGGCGAATTGGAATATGAGGTGGAAGAGATTCTCGACTGGCGAGAGAAGCGCGCTGGTCGAAACACGCAGATAGAAGTGTTGGTAAGATGGGCTGGTTATGCAGAGACGACATGGGAGAGATTGGACGTTGTAGAAAATTGTTCGGCATTGGATAGGTACGAGAAGCGATTCGGTCCCGTTCCGGGACCTTCTCGCCACCGGATCGTCGACGACGGAGACATCGTTATCCCCGCTGTGAGATTACATCGTTGTTAAAGGGAGAGGAGGGGGGTACTGTCACGGGCCAGAGCCCATTGGATATCACGTGCTACAACGTGACCCAAACCTGGGGTTATTATGGAGAACCCCGCGTCAGATAGTTCCTTTCCTCAAGATGAATGAAAACAGCATGTTGGCCTAGCCTTAATTGAATCAATTCAGCTACAGCCCTTCACAGTAATAGGGACTAATAGCTCTAATTAGACTGCGGCAACATCCTCAATATCCATGGATATCCACATATCCTCTCCGCAGATTGCGGATATAGTATATCACCCAATATCCGCAATCCTCAATTTTGTGGATATGGTATACCACCTAATATCCTCTGGATATTTGAGGATATCCAGTGGATATCAAACAGGCCAAACATGCCTAGCCTCACGACTCTTTTAAGTATGTATAATTTATGCAGTTTCCTACGTATTTTTAATGTAATCATAGTGTAATCATTAACTTTCAAGATTTCAATTTAGTAAATAAAATTCCGTTATCTCCATATAATATCAACTACCTTAAATCAATCTGAAATCCATCAGGTAACCTAGGCTGCTTTCGAATTCGTCCTGACCGTCCCAGCATGCTCTCATCTATTGGCATTTCTGGAAGGTCATCGTCATCTTCATCAAGAGATTCAGATAATCGTTTCTTTGATCGCTTACGCTGCACTTGCTTACTTTGATCATTATTCCTCTCATCATCTGAATCATCATTGCAGCTCCTCTTCTGTTGTGTGTCCTGTATGCTAGGCTCTTGATCCTCCTCTTCGTTGTCACTAATTGGCTCAAGAGTTTCAAGATGGAGCATTGGTTTCCGAGCTTGGTCTAATAACGCAGCTTCCCCAATAGAGAGATACTCCTTAATAACCTCTATCTCCTTCTGCTCAACGTCAAAATTAGTGGCGAATTGATGGAGCATTAATCCTCGGATGGTACTTGGTTTCAATTGACCGCGACGATAGTGGCAGATATCGCGAGCGCAATTGAATAATCGCTCAACGCCTGCACCACTAGCTGGGATCGAGAGAATATCCCGTGCTATCCTCGCAAGGATAGGAAACTCAAGCTCATGGTCTTTCCAGAATGCTCTTGGCTTCTGAATCTCAATCCCGCGGGCAAGATACCTCGCGATCTCATCATCTTCAGGCTTTGAGAGCTCATCCTGGGGCTGGTTTTGAGATGCACAAGCAGCATCTAGATCACCATATTCATCATCCGGGGCCTCTCTCGTGGTATCTTGTAAGACTGTATTATCTGAATCACGGTGAAGTATCTCTTTATATCGTTGAAACTCTCGCTTAAGAACTCTATGATAGTGATTAATATAGTCAATATCACCTTGCCAGTCTGACGATGCGAAATATCGAAGTTTCTTTGATAGGCAAAGGATTGTCGCGAGTGCATAGATATCGCCATATGATTCATAATCAGTCGCAGTGTAGTACTTTGAGAGCTTCCGCTTAGCAGTCTAAAGAGCCTGGAGCATATGCTTCTTCTAGACAACACCTTTATTCTTCAACTTACACTCAGCTTCATCTAGATAAGAGAAAAGCTTGTTATAAATACTATAGATGTTGTGTGTGGTAACATCCCTAGTCTTTGATAACATAGTGGTGAAGTCAAAGAAAGGCTTTGTGAGAAGAAGAAGATATTCAATCTGTCGCCACTCTTCTTGATCAAGTTTAAAGTGTAGATACTGATAATCTATACAATACTGGTCATAGAATGGTTGTAACCTTTTAGCACGATTGAGCATTATGAAGGTTGAGTTCCATCGGGTTTGGACATCCTGAATAGGAACCAAACGAGGCTCATTAGTTTGAAGAGCCATAAATGACTCCCGGCGTTGTGGGCTCGCATTAATAAAGACCGCAAGACCTCGGATCTTAGACTTTCTTATTAGAATAAACTCAGAAGCCTAAGGGAGATAGAGGACTGACCTTCTTTAAGGTATCTGCAATTTGCCGACTTAAGCCAGATTGTTTAGTCTGGAATGAATGTGTTCGCTCGTCAGGCCACTCTAGTTCAATCTCTTTATTAGGTGGCGTCACTTTCAGCTTCCCAAGAAGCTCATTTAAGCTTAATTGGATCACATGCGCAATACACGGAACTCGGAAGATTAAGGTATCTGGTTGGCTCTGCGACTGAATAGTCTCTTGGATGTTCATCACCAAGGTATTGTTGTTAGTTGCGTTATCTGTTGTCACAGATAAGACACGATTGGTGATTCCATGATTGTTCAAGAGCTGAGTAACGGTCTTACTTAGATTTTCACCAGTATGAGACCCATAAAGATGCTCAAATCCAAGAAGAACTTCACAATAATTCCAATCCTGATCAAGAAAGTAGCCTATGATAGCCATGAAAGCTTACTGAAATGGCGATGTCCAGCAATCAAGCGCTAGTGAAAGGCGACTCCCATCTGGAAGTCTTCCAAGAATCTCCTTCTAGTCATTTTTGACTGCAGAATCAAGATAACGTCGTATGCTTCGCGCGGATGGTATATCGATCTTGCTTTGAGCTTGTTGAATGACCTCTACTAGGTCCTTGAATTGGGTATGCTCCACGATTCGGAAGGGTAGGTGAGCCGCTGAGATAAAGTCTAGGATCGCTTTAACGAGACGCTCCTAGGAGAAAGGTTGGTGTTTTGGGATCGATGGCTTTAGGATAATTATCAAGATTAGCAAAAGAGATATTAAAAATCTTAATAATAGAGTAATATACCATCTTTCTTAGTAGCTGATCAACCCTCTGAGTAACTGGCTTCCGAGTACAGGTGCCTGCCTTAATATGTGCATTCATCGGTGATGACCCAGCACGGCGATATCTTGGATGAACAAGGGTACAGAGGCATGATATGCACATAACCTTTGGCTTGCCAGTCTTCTCATGTGCAACCTGATTAAAATTGTCCCAGACACTTGAAGTCTTTTTCCCATCCCAACGGATAGAGTCTTGTATATCAGGTGTTGATCCAGACTCTGTAGTTAACCACCAACTTATAAAGCGCTTACGAGATTCTTCCATCTCGCTACTAGGCTCAGAGGAATAGAGGACCCAATACTGCTGAAGAGGGAGGCCAACACGCGTAAGCGAGAGGGGTGCAATCGGAGATGAAATTTGAGACGTAGATGTCAATGGAGTTTGGCTGCTAATAAGCTCAGAGATATCATCTGAATAAAGAAGGTCGGTATTTAGACCTAGATCTGAATCAGCGCAGAAGGAGTAGTGGGATTGAGATGCTTGTGAGTAAGACATGGTGTACTTGATCACTATGTCAGAGAGAGAGAGAAACTTACATATAGAACGAGCTGAAAATATCAGAATTATGGCAAATATGCTGTAACTCGTAAGTTGCGGGTGCGTACTTGACATCTCTTACTTTTGATGGCGATGATTGGCTATTACTAATCACTGGTGTGGATATTTGAGGATAATTGAGGATATATTGTGGATATCCGCATGGATATCCTTGGATATCCTCAACCTTGCCGCCATATTCACCAAGTCCGCTGTCAACAACATTGGAGCTTCCGACCGGTAATCTTCGAGAGAATCTATTTAGAATCATTATATACTTGAAAGTTAGGCTTAGATCATTAATTTAAAGCTAAATTAACTAAATTTGACCGGGAAATGGCGAGTTTGGTCAAATATACTTAGTTCAGCTGAGAGATGCTATACTTCTTCCATGAGTAAATATATATTTCCATGGTAAAGTAAAGTGAAATAACAAAAAATCATGGTTTCCCCCTAATACACTTTGAAAATAAAGATTGATGCTATAAGTAATAATGAAGCTAATAAATATTGGTTAATACATAGGTATTACTTAATATTTCATTGGGAAATAGGATAAATAAGGGTAGTAGTATGGTCAGGACCAAACCTGTGTATCTTTTGTTCTGAAAAATAAATTAATAAGCTGTATAAGAGGCACATGACGACCCCTAAGTAGATAATCAAGCGAGAGTTATGCTAGTGCGGATATCCGCAGAATATCCTCATATCCTCGCGGATATCCATGGATATCCTCATTGAGGATATGGTATGAAAGTAATATCCATTATCCTCAATTTGCGGATATGGTATTGAGCCTAATATCCAATGGAGAGGATATGCCGCAGTCTAGCTCTAATCGCTCTACTGTTACTTCGAATTTACCCGATAGAAGGACCTTCGTAGTTATATCATACCTTTATCGTACCTATTCTTGGACGAGAAGCTGGAACCTAAGCCTAACTATCGAGGAAGACGATAACTTCTTAATCGATATTAGTACTTACTTAGTAGGGTAAGTGTTGGGGATGTCAGGTGACATCCTACATTGGGATAGTCTCCCATGGAGTAGATAGATAGATATCTCTCGCTCTCTCTCTCTCTCTCCTTCTCTCCTCCGTCTGCAATACAATATTCATATCTTCATATTCCATTGCCCCTTGTATGATCTCCATGAGTAAGCTTACGCGGTATAACACTTCTTCTAAAGAAAGTATCGCATACGATATTATAGATATAAAGATCGATTACGAGAATCTAACCTTAAAAGAGCTTAAGAAGGAGCTTACTATAAAGGAAGTAAAGATAAAGAAACGAGAAATTATCTAGAAACTTAAAGGGTTAAATAACTATTTATAAGATAAGAATTATAACAAGGATCTCGAGACTCTTGTACTATAATATATTAAGGCTGGGGGGCGAAAAAATGCGAATTATTGACTGCGTTGGATAAAGACCGTATTACACTGTGGACTTGATTACACTGTGGCGACTCAACCCCTTGGGGATTAGGTCGCACGGACCGGGTATATAAGCAACTTCAAAATGTTTCCGAAGCGGTTTAACCATCTTGCCGGTGGTTCCGTTTACAGCGTGATTGGCATGAAGAAGACTTCAGAAATTGCTTGGACCCATCCATTCGCATCTGGTTTGCTGGATCTATTCGCTTTTCGGAGACATCTCACGTAGAATTAGCTCGGGCTAGGAAATTATCAATTTATAATCTCGAGAGAGATATAAATTCATGCGCAAGAATCAACAGGCAGTCGAACTTGTGTCGCACTTGTCTCATTTACTCCAATCATTATCTTCTTATCCCAAGGCTCGCTCCTAATGACGTCATCAAACCAACACCCCCGAACGATTGTTGTTCTTGGATCCACGGGGTCTCAAGGTAGAGGAGTGGTGGATTCGCTACTTCACGAGACCAATTTAGGATCATGTCTCATCCGTGCTGTTACCAGAAATGTCAACTCGGCCGCAGCTAGGCAGCTGCTACATGATTTTCAAACTCCGGATAATCGTCTTAGTCTCGTCACCGGTGACGTTTACAATTCCCAAAGCCTTCATGATGCTTTCCGGGGAGCATATGGAGTTTTTGCAGTGACCAGTGAACGCACCTCAAAGAGGATTGAAAAAGAGGAGGATATGAAACATGAACTCCAGGCGGGCTGGAACATCATCTCTGCTGCGAAGTCATGCCACATACAGCATTTTGTTTTAAGCAGCTTGCCCAACATGAAAGAAGTAACGGCAGGGCGCTTCAAAAAAATCTTTCATATGGACAATAAGTTCATAATTGAGCAATGGGCAAAGCGCGATCTACCCGCGGTCACCTGCCTCATTCCTGGTGGGTCCTGATTCCGTACACACTTAGGTCCTGGACGAGAAGTCCTGATGGTCAATGAAAAGTCATATGACTAGGTGGTTATGGCTGATTGTTTTCTACTCCCCCAGGGTTCTTCTTTACCAATCTAAGCCGACCAGAATACTGTCGACGCGAAAACGGAGTCGTGCGGTTTTGTCCACCAATTCCTGGAAGCAAGTCTGTTCAGTGGCTTGACCCGGTACACGACATGGGCGTTTTCGCTGCTAGTAGGTTACACCCGGACTTGAATGCCGTTTCGTTTGCTCCTTCGGTCCTTCCATTTTTTTCCATTTTTGCTTTGATTTCAACATCGCCCTTGGCCGCAGCATGAACGAGTGTAAATATGAAGAGCTAATTCAGTCTTCCAGAGGTTTTCGCCCTTGGCATTCTGCAAACAAAAAACAAAAACTATGTTGTTGCAGGACCGAAGATGCGCATGGAAGATTTCGCAACTATTTTCGAACGAGTAACTGGTCAATCGGCAATTTACTCTCCTACAACAATGGATGAATGGGCCAGTGCGGCTTCTAGGGCAGTCGGTCCTGGATTCAAGGAAGACTTTTGTCAAATGATGGAATGGGTCTCTATCGCACCAGATGACAAGATTTGTTATGGTGCTCTTGATCCAGCTGATGACCATTCTTGGAATGATCTCCATGTTAGGGCTAGCACATTTGAAGAATGGTTGGAGCGCACAGGATGGACTGGACCATAGCAACCTGTGCAAAACGAATCGGCTAATCTTTGTCTTACGCCGTCGGTTTTAAATAGCTCTTCGAAGCAATCTTACTCGAAAATCTCTAGAGATTAGTATGCTTTTGCGTTCGTCTTACGAATATTCATGTTAGCAACATAAAGCACATTTATGAATCTTGTCATAGGAATAAAAACTAGGACACATCATAAATCCGCACTCGATCTAACGGGTGGCGTCTTCGATCAACTTCAGCTATGGGTCGAGATGTATCAAAATTGGTTGGTGACCTCATGCAGTCAAGAGGGACAAGAAGAGTATAGTGTGACCCTAACGGGTCACATTTTGCTGCGGTCATATACGGAACGCACTAGACCTTGCTAACTCCTGTCACGAAGAATTCAGGATCAATGATCCTGAACCGATTCTGCCGTGTTACACCGCCTTTCGTAGTTCGTGTTTTACAGTTTGATTGGATGCCTCAGGCATCATAACTACCTTAATTGTTTCAGCGTGTTGTTTCTTTCTTCTTCTTTCTTTCTTTCTTTCCCCATGTTTAGTATTTTAGTTGAATGCACTCTTTTTCATTAAGACTTGGCTCGTAACAGTGATTCTTTGTTTTGTTATGTATAATTTCTGCGAGCGTTTCCCCCTTTCCCTGAAATATATAAACGTCGATACTTGTATTGTCAAAGGTCTCTTGTATGCGTAGCATACGGTTATGACAGCATCCCATTGAAGGAAATGGTGTCTTTTTTGGCAAAAGGCAAATCAAAATTGAAAATATTGATTACCAATTAAAGGCTTCTTCAACAAAGTCCACCACAGCGGATTGTCCAGTCCTCCTCACAGCGTCACGAACGTCATCCGAGAAACGGCCGGACCCACAAACTGATACAATAGTAGCACCAACTCGGTGCGATAGAATTTGATTCAACACAGTAGCAGGCCGGCAGCGAGTGGGGGAAACTTCTATCACACTTGTCGTAGGACAGATGAAGTTGATATGGTGGATCTCAAATTGCTGGGAAACAAAGAGCTTAATATTCAGAATCTGCCGGCTGTGAGACAGCTCCAGGAGCGGGCCTAAGAAACTTTGTATCCAGCAGAGGTGCTCCGAGCTTCGAACACACCAGATCAGGTACAACTTTTGAGTGGCAGCTTGACCGTTCGACGCCTGATGGATTAGCTCGCGCACGTACATGAGATGATGTGTAACACCCGCACCACCTGAGAAGAGAACGACAGTTCCGTAACTCCCCATACTGGAAGGACTAGAAGGGTAGGGCCCTTCGACAAAGCCGGTTCCATGGAGAACTTGACCTGGAGATGCGCGGGCTTTTTGGTACAGTCGACGAGTCATACCCTGGCGGGAAACGATGATCAATGAGAGAGTCGTAAATTCGACTGTGGTCGCATTTTGGGCCACTGGTTCTAAACTGTACTCAGTCTGCGGAGTTGAGAACAAGGATTGATTGGTTGTCGACTTGTGGTTTTGAGGTTCGGCCCACGCGACGGAAAAGGGGTGAGACATCCATAACGAGACCTTAGGGATATAGACATACACATGACAACCGGGGTTAATCTGAATAGACTTTGGGAGACGAAAAGTGACAAGACATGCTTCGGATGGCAAGGCTTGAATAATCACCTTGGTTTGGCCATTTCGGAGCGAATAGTTGAGATACACCAAGCGAGCGATCCGAATGGTGCGTTCCAAACCCCAAAGGACGGCAATCACCTTGAGCCATGCCAATTGAGGAAGAGTATCCAGATTTAGGTGCATATACACCCCGATAAACGCCAGTAAGGCAGCGAGTTGATGAAGGTGGAGAAAGGTCTCGTAAAATGCATGTCGAATGGGAGAAACGGAATGAGTCAGTAGGAAGACAAATGAAAAGGCTCCGACACAACCCCATTGAAAGAATGATGTCGTTCGAATCCGCCAGAGCGTGTAATTGAGCCCTCCCTCATGGGTGGCATTGAACCCCCAGGCAATCACATGCGTTATGACCTCGAAGACCACAACGCGGCCGAGCCAACGATGTAAGAGGTTGTACGTGTTGAAGTTGATTTGTAAAAGAGGGATCAAAGGGTTGTTTCGACACGCGAGAAGGAAGAGAGGAATCATGTTCAGGACTGCCAGTGTTCCGGATCGGCCTCGTAATTCGGCAACCAGAGCGGCCCTTTCATTGTCCTGATAGTTCAAATAGGTGCAATATATCACTTGACTCGCAAGATAGGACAGGATGACGATTGTGTGTAGCCTGGATGGTATCGTAGCCACATTGAGTCCTCCCAATTTTATTTCCCTATTATGTCGTTTTCCAATCAATGGGGCGTAAAGTACATGTCTCTTAACTTTGGCCCATAGAGCGGACGACTCCACACTCCAGAAGTTCTGGTGCGCTGAGAACACAACAGAGGTGGCTTTTCGAAGATAGGCATGAATCCACTGGGCGGTACGCACACAAAGCACACATAAGCACACCGAGAGAAATACTAGCCCCATTACCCGAGACAATAAAACGTCTCTTGGTATGTCAACTCCTGCAAGACCTCTAGAGTATTCATCAATAGATGAAGCATTGGTGCTATATGGCCGTCGAGAGTAACCCCGCACATTACGGCGTTCAGCGACTGGCATTGCAATGACAAAGAATAAAATGAACAGTAATCAGGTGGTTGTTTCTTTGTTATTCTGTTCTCACGGAATGAAATCGGAGGACAGGTGGCGCGGCGCAGGCTCAACCCTTGCCAGTCAGGTCGGTTGGCAAGTTTGTGTGTACCGCAGTATAGCGATGTGAAAAACAGGGTAGGCAACAGTATGATGAGCCATTCTTCCATCGTACGTGTAAATGCCAAAATGGAGTATCATTGGGTAAGAACCTTAGATGGTGTTAGTAGACATGCTCCCAGACTTTTCAGAGTGCATCTCTCGACCAATAAGTGTTCTACGCAAGGGTCTTCAGGTATGTGTCGGCGTAGCACAAGTTCATCATCAGGAGTTGCATAGTATCCCAAGTTTCTTCACGCTTATCATGCCGCTGAATATTGCATGCCTGTAAAATGTAAGCCTACTCAATGCTCTGAAACAGGAAACCTCCTTGCCTAGTGTTGTATATAGTGAGGTAGTATCTAAACGTTATGAGTTTAAATGCAACCGCGCATTTCTTTTCATTCCATTTCTTTTGCTTGTTCTTGTTTTGTTTGTTCTATTACTATTAGGCATGGACCATCATGGGGCTTCAATATTCTGAAAAGCGGTAGAAGGGAGCTTTTGCAGAGGGTCTAAACCCATTATTATCCTCAGCAGCTTCAGGAGTAAGGAACCCTTATTCAGGAGTAAGGAGCCCTTCTTCAGGAGTAAGGAGCCCTTGTTGAAAAGCTGTATACCAACCAATTTCCTCCTATAACAGGTGCCGCACTGTTCAAGCAAGAAGGGTAATCGGACCGTAGGATGACCCTGGTTGGAGTTATTCGCCCCGCCCTGATTCCCTGAATCTAGGGGTTACGTTTGGAAGTGCTTTCCAGCATGGATCAGATTCAAAAGGTTCATTAGATAAGGGGTTTTCTTATTGTCTTTTCTCGTCGGTCTATATAACAGGTTTATGGTATTATTTGTGTGGATAGTTTCTATATACGCGAACACATATCGCTACACTACCTAACAGAACTCTTCAAAAAGAAGAAAAAAAGTTAATGGGTATACAATCACCGAGAAGGATGATTCGTTTGTAGTCCCGGAGTCCTCAGGCTCCTAGCACCGTATTTATAAACGACCCAGGGAATGGGCACGAAAACCAGGGAGATAAATGCAAGTAAAGAAACTGCCCATTGGGGTCCAACCTTTTGAATTAATGGGGAAGATATCAGTGGCATGCAACTGGATAGAATGAAGCGCAAAAAGTTCTCTACTGCAAAGGATGAGCTTCCAAATTCGGGGCCGTAGATTTCGTTCTTGTATTTGGGCCACCCAAACTAATATGAAGCTCCAGTTAGCACGTGGCTTTCACAAATAGGAATATTATGTCTTCGAGTAATAATAAAGAAACAACGGAAAATAAATACCACTGACCGAGATCATAAAATACGCAGCACCTAAAGGCAATCTAGCCAGGAGAGGAACAATCCAATGTATCGTTCGGTTAATAGTCCAAGCAAACCTAGATAAATGGCTTGTAAGATTATGTGTCCAAATGCAGCCATGATGGAAAAACTCACCAGAACAATCCCAAAGACATAAATATCCCTCCAGCTATGACTGGATATAGCAGCCGATCAGGATCTATAATTTGCCCACTACGCTCCGCTTTAATATTTGCATTAGGGTAGAACACCTCGTATATGAGGATATTTGCAAAGAATGCAACAAGGCTGCCAATGAACATGGACAGATAGGCGAGGGAAGTTTGGTACGGCGAGAAATGATAAGTTGCCGAATATGTAAGGGGAAACCCCACATAGAAGAAGAAGACAACTGATAGAGCAAACGAGGAGACAAGTGAAGTCGAGAGAATCAGTGGCTCTACAAAGGCCATATGAAGTGGTTGACTGATTGCTAGACATAGATTCGAACCTAGTCTCCTGGTTCGTCCGTCTTCCCTTCCTCCCGACAATCGGTATTTTCGTCTTCTACGGCGGATGATCTCTGTTCCGTGCGTCTCTGGACACAGCCAGACCAAACCGCAGATTGAAAACAAGATTGCAATGCTTCGGAATATCCACCTCCAATCGTGGACCTGAGTGAGAATGAACTCACCAATAGGGGAACCGATCTCCGTACCCCAGATGGCTATACTCGTCAAGAGAAAATTGAGTATTGCCCCCACACGGCTAACCTTCGCATCCCATACATCATTCAATGTGCCCATGGCGACTGTAATCATTGGAGCTCCGCACAAACTGGTCAAAAATCGCGTAAGCACGATTACGTAGAAGGTCGTGGTCCATGCCCCAACAACCGTGAACACGAGCGCCCCCGTTATGGAGGCAATGTACATGATTTGTCGACCATATGACTCGGAAAGCGCACCAAATATTGGACCCAGCGCAAGTCCAACATTATAGACTGTCATGGGGAGCAATGCCACTGAGTTCGTGACATGAAACTGCTCCATGATATATGGAACAGTCGGAATATATATCGAGTTGGACACAGACCTTAGACCATGGGTTAACAGGTACCACATACAAGGTAAAAACAGAAGGATCGCTCACATAGAAAATGCGGTTAACATAACAATAATGGAAATTATTGTCTTTTTCCATATAGGCCAGTTTCGAGGGTTACCAGTATCCTCTGGTTGAAAGGCATTGTCCATTGTTGTAGCTTTGTGTCATCTATCAGGGGTGAATACAGTGTAGTCGACTGAAAAGGAATAAGTGCGGTTTTTTATTGATAGGGAAAAGAAGAGAGAGAAAAGGGGAAGCCAGTGCCACATCCAATGATATACCTGGTCGTTCGCAGTATCTCTGCCTGGTTATTTACATGTATAACTGCAAATGCCAGCTCACTTCCATCACACTCCCTTGCTTATTGGGAAATGCGCAGTTGTTCAGTTTGCTGCACCCATGGAGCTGCTGTGACGTGACCGTAGATGACATACGTAAGGGGTAAGTTATACTTGCCTTCCGTCAAGTTGATGTAGCGTCAAATTGATGTAGCATGATTGAAATTTGCAAAGACTTCCATATACGAGAAGTAATTACACAATAATATACAGTTGGGGCGTTGACACTTAAAAATGAAGGCAGTCCGAATATATGGAAGAGAACAGCGCCCATGATGAGTGATATGTCGTTGCTATTACATACAGTACAACGCTGGTATGAGATCATCAAGCGTTTCTAATAGGGCAGAAATACCCGACGAGGAGCGGATTCGATTATTGCTTATTTCCAGTCCGTGGAACAGAATATTGAAGATAGCATCTTAAAAACTCATTGCGATACAAGGAAACAATGGAAAGGGTATATCTTATACGGGAAGTTGAGTTTACAGCTATTACCTAATCCCACGGGTCTGATGTTGACTACGTATACAGGAACCATGAATCAAAGATAGAAATCGATAGGACACTGACTAGGTCTCACAACGATGTTATATAGGGAGCATTATGAACGAGTCCATCAAATCAGGCGGCCAGAACGAAAGGACTGCTGCATCAACTGGGCGACAGGAACTAGGCGGGTGAAGCCTGACATTCAAGAAGATATCAAACAAAAACAGCCAGCCCTTGAACATGCCCATTGCTTCCCTCAATCGTCACATTCTGTCCGTCGAAAATATCCGAGGTCAGATCAAATACCGTGATAAAGTGTGCATGAGGATCGACCTGGACAGCCAGAGCATAAAGAGCATCCCCCACAATCCTGAAGTCCATATAACCATCAAAGCTGTTAAGTGGCTCAATCGCCTGCAAAACTGCACCTGTCCCCAGATCCACCTTAGAAATCATATTTCGCTGCACGTCGGTGACATATCCATGGCCTGTTCTCGGATAAAATTGTGCCCAGCAAGTCGCAAATTTGTCCTCGACCTTAGATTTTGACAGGAGTGAGTCTGGGGACTCTACATCAATCACAAAGGCGCCAAGCATCGCGTCTGAGACAAAGAGCTTGGAGGTACCTGGGACTGGATCTGCGCCGAAAGGTATGGTCATCCCGATGGGTGCGGCTAGGGTTCCATCCTGCGCGACCTTTCCATCTGAGTCCACAGACCATATTCCTATCACACCTTGTGACATGGAAGCATTGCCAGTGGACATGCCGACCAGGGAAGATCCACTCCAGGTGAAGACAATCTCGGTTAAAACAGAAATATCAAAGCTGACATTAGGAGGAACAGTCTGGTTCGTATGAGGTGGCAAGATGCGTAGACCATCAAAGAATCCAATGTTATCTGCCTTCCATTTCGCACAACTCACTCCAGTCCGTGTTCCAGAGTGGCCCACGCAGATGGTATCGTTGTGCACTGCAAGGGAGTTTGGAAAGTCTCCTGGAGTGTTGTACACACCCACAAGTTGGAGACTGGTCGGGTCTGAAGGTGATATCTCAAACATGGAGATTGAATTGGAACCTGAATTAACATTGAAGAGATACTGCGGTGCGTAAAAAAAGATTAAATAAAGCTCGGTCAATGAAGAATATGAACGAGAACATGCCCTCAACTCACGTTTCCATACACCAGGACGCTGTGGGAGCTGGCTAATGAATCGGGAAAATTCTGAGTCCCATTGGTTACCACGGCCACTGCGCCATTTCCACCAGTGGGAAATGACTGTGAGGGGCCCAGCTGGTGGCCAGACAATACCGGAAATGCAACAACCTGGTTTGGTGATTCATTGGTCATTGTGTAGACTGCTTTGGCATCCCCAGAATGTATCTGGAGATCGAAGGCAGCTCCATAGGCAAAGGCAGTGAGCGCAATTGCGCTGGTTAGAAATGGGAACGAGAGGAGCATATTGCGGTACTCAAGTTACAATAAGAAGAGATGAGATGTCAAAATCTGTCGAAGGCAGTACTCCGTAGGAATGATTACTCGAAAGCCAAATGGAAACAGAACTCCAAGCGAAAAGTTGCCTTTTATCTAAGTCCGCCCCCAATGAATTGAGTGCCAAACTATGTGACATAGAGCCCTTACCTTACAGCTTTCTGCGAGGCAGCGGTGAGAATGAGGGAGGTATCATGCAGAAAATCTGCTGTAATTTGCGTGCGAGAGTCATTTTACAGCAGAGATACAGTTTTCTTGAGGTTGGATAGATTTGAACACTTTCAAGAACGCGTTGCAACGTTATAGATGCAAGGGGACCAGTTTTCAGACGGCCTACGTGAATTGTATCCCTTGCACTGGAGAGGTAACATTTTCTCCAGCGTTAGCATAAGGTGACATTGGAAGTAGCACAAGAAGTCTCAACTCCAAGGGCGAGGTTGTATAAAGAACTGAGATAATAACACAAGAAGAGCCGGCAAAAGGGCTCAGGTCAATCTCAATCGCAATCAGTTCAAGTTAAGTCAAGGTGACAGTCTTCATCATGCTTTGCACCTATCTTTTATGTATTATTCTTACAACTGTTCACCTTACTAATGCCATCGACACTTCCGATGGCTCCCCAGATGCGTTCTTCACCCCTGCTGGTAGTAACCCACAAAAATTGCCTCCTCCCGGAGCAGACTATTATACTCTTCCCAATGGTGGGTAGCAAAAGCCGAATGCAAGTTTTGAGATTTCCTAACTAATGATTTATAGGATGTCCAATTGATAATCCACTCGGCACCTTACGATTAGGGAATCAGCTCAATGGCAATCTTCTTCTTCAAGATATTAATTTGATTGATGTTTTGACCCATATCACGCATGAGAGAATCCCAGAAAGGTGAGGAAAGCTTAAGGTAGAGGATATCCTTTTTGTGCACTCTAAACTAACTGTGTCCAGAATTGTCCATGCCAAAGGCGCTGGTGCATATGGAGTCTTCGAAACAACCCATGACATTTCCAATTACACCAGTTTAGCATTTCTTAATCAGGTGGGCAAGACCACGCCGCTGTTTTCCCGGTTCTCCACAGTTGCTGGCGAAAAGGGCTCCGCAGACAATGTTCGCGATGCCAGAGGATTTGCATTTAAGTTCTATACAGAAGAAGGCAATCTGGATTGGTTATTTTTCGGAGCGGTTGGTCGTCCATTGTCTGTCTCTGAAAATGCAACTCTGACTATTCTACTTCTAGCCGATGTTTCAAATCAGGGATCCTGCAAAATTCCCATCTCTCGTCCACGCGCAAAAGCGAGACCCCTCGAGTAACTTGAAAAATGAAACTGCAGTTTGTAACACCTCTTTCGCTTTGCTCTATATTATTATTCTGACTTCTACGTAGTTCTGGGAGTAAGTTAATGCATCATGCTTTCCTGGCTAAATACTGATTTGGTGACCGTCCAGCTTCTTTAACCACAATGCAGAAGGGCTTAATTTCCTTATGCGGCTGTTCAGTGATCAGGGAACTCCACTGTCGTACCGCTACACTGATATCCATAGCATCAACACATACAAATTCACACAACCGGTCAATATCCTCACTCCTTTCTTCTATACCCAGGTTCTGTACTAACTACTTAGGTATGAATGAAGACCGGTGAATTTAAATACGTTCGAATCGTTCTCAAAACCGATCAAGGCGTGCGGAATCTTACTCACGATCAGATGACGACTCTTGTAGGAATGGATGCTGACTTTTCAACTCGCGATTTATACGCGGCCATTGACAAGGGAGACTATCCGTCGTGGACGGTGTATGCACAGATTATCAATCCCGAGGATGCAGAAAGTTCCCCAGTAAATATATTCGATGCAACCCGAGAGTTGCCCGAGAGTGATTTTCCTCTCATTCCGTTCGGCAAGATAACCTTGAATCGCAATCCGAAAAATTACTTTACAGAGGTTGAGCAATCCGCGTTTCAAGTCGCTAATCTTGTTCCTGGATGGGATGTCTCTGCGGACCCTAGTATGTTGTCCCACTGAGGTTAAAACATGAAGTGGAATCCATCCATCTTATTAATTGTTCAACCAGTCGTCCAAGTCCGCTTATTCCCTTACGGTGACACTCAACGATATAGACTTGGAATCAACTTCCCTCAACTCCCCATCAACCGGCCCTTCTACTCATACAACCCCACTCGTCGTGACGGGGCCAACAACATCATCAATTTGGGCAATCTGCCCAACTACTTCCCCAACTATAACGGACCTCAGATTGTGCAGCCAGCTCAGTATCGGCAGACTGCCGAGCAGCACATGCGATGGATTGGAAATGTGACCAACTTCCAGAGTCAAATCACCGATTCGGACTTTGACCAGCCGCGTGATTACTGGAATCAATTGGCTGATATGGGACCGGACCAGCAGGGTAATTTTATTTATAATGTTGCTTCTTCTCTGTCTGGTGCGAATAAGGGAGTCAGACAGGAGACTTATGGTATGTTGAAACCTCCTTTTGATAATTAAGATACGATGATTGACTTAGGATGTTTTAACTCCCTTTCCAGCGCTCTTCAGGAAAATCAATGGCGATCTTGCCAGTGCTGTGCAAAATCGAACAGAGGGTCTTGTCCTCAAAAAGTGCCAG